CAAGCACTCCACCCACTGAGTCACCTCTCCAGCCCTCTATAATAATATGTAGTCTATAAATATATAATGTTGCAACATAGCACTATTACATATAATATATATTATTTCGTTGTTATTATTTGGACACGTGGTCTTGCTATGTAGCCCAGGGTTGAAATTACAGGGGTGCACCACCATTTCATCTAAGGTTTATCTTTTGTTTTGTTTTATGAGACAGGATCTCACTGTGTAGTCCTGGCTGGCCTGGGATTTGCTATGTAGACCAGGTTGGCCTCAAACTCACAGAGATCCATCTGCCTATTCTCCCAGCCGCTGAGACTAAGGGCACGGACTGACATGGCCAGCCTTGGCATCGTCTCTAGTTCTTCTGGTTTTTTCCATTCCTTCCTCCCTCGCACATTCCCTACTGTTCCTCAAGTTTTCACTGAGCATTTAATGCTACTTCAGTCAGGTCATAATGCCCCTCAGCTGAATATGAGCCCACTGTGCTGTAGTGTTTCAGGGGAGAGGGTTCAGTATGAGAGCCGGGGCAGTGGAAAGCGGTGCTGTAGCAGGAGAGAATGGGGACAATCTCCCCAGACCAAGGTGGTGGTTGTTACAGACTGAAGGAAGGCACAGCCTCAGGGAGGCCCAGCATTCCCACAAGGAAGCAGGCCTCGAGAAGCCAGGGCCATGTTTTAGATAGCCGGGGTTGGTGATGGGTATCAAACGTTAGCCCCAGCCCTCATTAATAATAATGACAGTGTGCACCATCCCAGGGGCTTCCTGTGCTCTGACTCCCTCCAGCAACCCAGGAGGGAGGGAATTAGGACAGAGATTCCAGTGTGTCCACCAGCTAGCGAAGCTGGACGGTGACACAGCCAGGGTTATAAACCTTAGCCTATACTCTTAAGCACCCCTGCCTCTTGTGAGGAGACCTTGAAAATGATGGTCATAAAGCAACAGTCCTTGGTCTGCTTTGGGGCAATGAGTTTATGGCAGGGTCCCTGTTCGTTTTATGATATACTTAACACTCCTTTGGACAAGAGGTGTGTCTGACAGCCCAAGATCTCCTCATTCTTACAACAAACAACACACAAGTAACATTATGCAGACCAAGTAGCTACACACACACACACACACACACACTTTCTCTCTCTCTCTCTCTCTTTTTTCTCTCTCTCTCTCTCTCTCTTAAAGAAAAAGCAACCACAAATTTGAGAGAGAGCAAAGGAAACATATGGGAAAGGCTGGGGGAAGGAAAAGAATCATAATAAACAAAACCAAAACAACTCCATTTCAGTTTGATTCTATTCCTTCCTCCAGGAAACACAGAGAAAGTCATGGCCTGTTAGGACAAGGACTCTGGGAGTCAAGCCCTGACCTACTCTTCACTTCTCTGGGCCTTAGTTTCTTCATCTGCTTAAGGCATCTGCTTTTTTCCCTCCATTTTAACTTTTTACTAATTATTTTGTTTTGTTTTTCCTTTTTCTTTTCTTTTCTTTTTTTTTGTTTTTTTTTGTTGTTTTTTCGAGACAGAGTTTCTCTATATTGTTTTGGAGGCTGCCCTAGAACTTGCTCGGTAGACCAGGCTGGCCTCGAACTCACAGAGATCCTCCTGCCTCTGCCTCCCGAGTGCTGGGATTAAAGGCGTGTGCCACCAACGCCCGGCCTTTGTACTGATTCTTTGTGGATTTCACATCATGCAACTCGATCTCACTCATCTCCCTGTCCCTTCACATCTGCTGTCTCTCTGCCTTTGCAATCCTTCCCCCAAGATGAAACAAAATAAAATTTGCTGGGCATTGGTGGTGCACCCCTTTAATTCCAGCACTTGGGAGGCAGAGGCAGGCGGATCTCTGTGAGTTTGAGGCCAGCATGGTCTACAAGAGCTAGTTCCAGGACAGCTTCCAAAACAATACAGAGAAACCCTGTCTCAAAAAACACCCTCAAAGAATAAATGAATAAAATGTAAAGGAAAAACAAATCTCATCGTGGAAGCTGTGGTGTCACACAGTGAGTTGCACAGCGTACTCTTTAGTTCTTATACCATTACTTGCAAGTGTTCATTGCAGTGAGTCTGGTTCTAGGCCTCTGGTTTCTGCTATACCACCAACACTGGGCCCTCACAATGGGACTCCTCTGGGTTATCCTGTGTCATGGGGATCCTGTAGCTTTGCGTCTTCAGGACCAACCAGTCCCTTCGTGCTCCAGCAGATCATAGATGGGGTGGATGTTGGGGTGGGCCAACTCAAAGCCCTGGGCTGGGTGTGGGTGGTTGCTGGGTTGGTAGCCCGCCAGTTCCCCTTCATTCACACCATCAGCTGCTTCTGCTAGCTCTCCCAAGGCAGCAAGCAGCAAGGGGTAGGGCCTGTTCTCCTGCTGTCACACATCTGGGCTGGCTCACCCACAACTGTACCCTCAGGGCCAGCTCTACTGTGTTGCCCAGTCAAGTAAGGCACCTGCTTTTAAATCTGGTGGTTTGAACTCAGTCCTTGGGACTCACATGGTGGGAGAGATTAGACTCCCATAAGTTGTCCTGTGATCTTCACATGTCCCCCCATGATGTACATATCGTCTCCCTCCACAGTAAATGAACAAATGTAATAAAAGATTTTTAATGCGAAATAAAAATAAGAAGTTACAGATGTTATCACTGTTTTGGGGACACAAGACTTCACTGAAGTCCCTTTCTTTCCTCCAATGATTCCAGGCAACATCAAAACACATGAAGGGCCGGTTGTGGTGGCACATGCCGGTAGGATTTGCTGAAGGAGGCAGAGGCAGGAGGCTCACGAGTTCAAGGCCAACCTGGGCTACACATGTGGCCGGGAGGTGGTGGCACATGCCTTTAGTCCCAGCACTTGGGAGGCAGAGGCAGGCAGATCTCTGTGAGTTCGAGACCAGCCTGGTCTACAAGAGCAAGTTCCAGGACAGCCTCCAAAGCCACAGAGAAACACTGTCTGGAAAAACCAAAACCAACCAACCAAACATTTGAAAAGCATATGCTGTGGGAATCTAGTAGTCATTCCATTTAAATGTTTCCCATTTGTGTATCTAAGTGCCATGACCCATGCAGCAAATGACAGTGTCCTGGCTGCCTGATGACCTCCTGGTTCACGTCCACACCTCCAACCTTTCTTTGCTGCTCCCTGACTTTTCTATCCCTCTAAAAAGCCTTCCTTAATTCAGTACTTCAGCAATCCCATGCCTTCTGTTTCCACAGCGTGTTGTTCTATGCATCCAAGACAGCCTTTTTATACTTAGGGATTATTTCTATTAAAAGTTCATAGATGGCCAGGCGGTGGTGGCACATGCCTTTAATCCCAGCACTCGGGAGGCAGAGGCAGGCGGATCTCTGTGAGTTCAAGGCCAGCCTGGTCTACAGAGTGAGTTCCAGGACAGCCTCCAAAGCCACAGAGAAACCTTGTCTCGAAAAACCAAAAAAAAAAAAAAGTTCATAGATGGTGTCTCTGCCCCTTTCTTGCAGAGAGAGGACAAAGCACATCTTGATTGCTACTGGTGTTTAATGTGGCACACCCGTCCCATTGACTGTAGTGTTCATTTGTTCCACGAGGTGGCAGCAAAGCCTGCTTGTTGCAGCTCAGCTCCTGAAGAGCTGGGCTATCAGGCTGCCAGAGGCTCCTTTTGCTCCAGAGAGCTCAGGGAAGTCAGGCCAAGAATAGGATTCCTTTCCACCTCAGCTGCAGCTTCCCTCCCTCCACTTAAGCCTTGTTTGGTTGGTTGGTTATATCTGTGTGACTGTGCATGCTATAGTGTGCCTGTGCAGGTCAGAGCACAACTTGCAAGAGTCAATTCTCTCCTTCCACCATGCAGGTCCCAGGCGCATCAGGTTTGGTGGCAAATGCCCTTACCTGATGATGAACCATTTCACATGTCACCTCCTGTTTGTTTTTGACAGGGTCTCTAGGGCTTAGGTTGACCTCAAATTCTCTACATAGTGAAGATGACCCAGAATTTCTGATCCTCCTGCCTCTACGACCCAGATGCTGGGATTACAGGTATGTAGCACCATGTCTGGTTTATGCAGATTCTGGGGATTGAATCTAGGGTTTCAAGCCAAACTACCGACTGAGCCTCATGGTCAGCCTCTGGTTCTGTGTGTGCTACATACCTATGTGTGTACAACTATGTGTGGGGGCTGGGGGTTGCCTTGATTGATTTTTGCCCGATTTTTTTGTTTTGCTTGTGTATTTTTATTTTATTTGTTATTTATTTATTTTATTTTTGAGACATCATCTCTCACTGAACCTACACGGCTTGCTTTAATAAACGATGTAGCAGTCCTACAATTATTTCTAACCTGGCTCTGGTGACATAATACTACTTACTGCTACATTGTTTATTTAAGCAAGTCATGAAGGTTGGCCATACTTGGGGGAATAGATTACACCAAAGGGAAGGGTGAGTGAAGCTGAGTAGAACAGAGATAGCTGTCCACTCCCAGGCCTGCCCGAACCACAGCTCTTAAGCTGTGTAGATGCCATACTAAAATACGTTACAGGGCACCAGGCAGTCAGAATGGGTTTCAAGCCCTGGCTAGTGCCATCTGTCTTGAGACAATAGACGGGGTGTTTGGTGGGAGGGGAGGGGTACCAATGTAACTGAGGATGGCCCCGAACTTCTTCTCATCCTGCCTCCACCTCCTGAGTGCTGGGATTATAACCGCATACCACCATACCCGGTTTATGCAGAGCTGGGGGTGTAACCCAGGGCCTTATGCTAGGCGATGATTCCGCCAACTGAGCTACAACCCCAGCTCCTCCCATTCTTGAGTTTTGTGACTAATAATGGAGACGATGACTAGCACAGCTACTTCACGAGGCCATGCGTAGACGTGTGACCTGCCCACTCTGCCCACCTGTGTACCTCACATAGTTCTGGAGGCCTGGGTGTGTTTATCCCAGACCCTGACACTGTGAGGATCCTTTCCCCAAAATGCCTCCCCCATCCCCCTGCCCTCCATGGTCCAGAACCTGACACAGTATCAAACTCAATGCTCACTTTGGCAACAGTACTTTTATTCAGTAACAAACCGGAGCCAGGCCAAGGAGGCTGTCAGGCCCCTCTCCGCACCAAAGAGAATGGGACAGAGGGCACAGTCTCAGAGCGGGAAGAGCCCTGGAGTTCACCTACCATTTGGGAGAAGGGACAAACTGCCCTTCCCACGTCCACTTGGACAAGACTCTTGTTTTCTAATAAAACACCACAAATTCTAACTTTATCAGCTAATTATCTAAAGTTCAGGATGAGCAGTCCCTAGAGGATTTGGGGTCAGGGACTTTAAGTTCTAACCTTGTTTTTAAGGAATACACTTATCCTCCTTTTTTCTTTTAAAAAAGTTTTCCTTCTGCTATTTTAAAAAAATGTTTCTGAGTATAACCAAAAATAGGTATTCTTTTTTTTTTCTTCTTTTTAACCTAAGTAGTTCAAAGAACAATATAACAGAACAGAGAAATAAAACGTAAACACACCTCATATAAAAATAACTCCTGGCCACCCCTGCTGACTGGGTAGGTCAGGTTACCTGGGTCCCGTGACACAGAAAGCTGGGGTGCCTCTGTGGGGGTCACCCACTCCAAATAATGCAGTACATTCCAGGGATTGGGCCCCATGTCTGGGCAGGGCAAGAGACAAGCCTCCAGGTCATGTCCTACCTTCCCCAGGCCCAGTGGCTTGTCTGAGAAGGTCAGGACAGGGGTGGATAGACACAGGGGATGGAGGACGGGGGAGGGGGGGGGGATGCAGGGAGGTGACTAGTTTGGGACAACAATTTATACTTCAAGGAACAACCTTCCTCTTGTTTTTGGCTTGCTTCACATTTTCTCTCTGGCCAATTTCATCTCTATTTCCGTAAGCCCCATGGTTACTTAGTCACAGCCTCCTCTGTTGGGAGAGAGGTAGGCAAGGTGAGAGGCGAAGGGGGCTTAGGAGGGTCCAGTGACGACACAGGCCCGCACAGAGGGCCTTGAGGCTTGAGGTAGACAGTTTCTTTCACACTTAGAGTTGGGACCATGTTTTTGTTTTGTTTTGTTTTTTCTTTCTTTCTTTTTTTTTTTAGTTTTCTTCTTTTTCTCTTACTCAGGGCAAGAATATGGGGCGGGAGGGGTACCCCAAAGGAGGGCTTGAGGTAGGAGTGCATTCGGGCTCTGTGGGGCAGGGGGCTGAGGCTACTGCCCCCCCGCTACTCCCAAGGACATTCATTCCGGTTGAGGTAGGTGCTGAGAGTCAAAACAGCTAAAATCCATCCTGAGAAAACAAGATCGGAGCAGGGCGACGGCATCGGGGCCAAGCCATAGTAGGGACTTTTTTTTTTTAAGTATAATTCACTTTCTCTCTCTTCTCTCTTTTTTGACTTTTAAATTTTGATTTTTAAAGGAAAACTCTGTTTCATTAGAAGTCTGTGGGCAGCAGGCATTGATGAGGGGACATTAGCTCTAGTGGGGAGACGACTTCCTGTAGGACCCTCTGGCTCCTGTGGTTTGAGAACCCTGTCCTGCAGTCAAGCTAGAAGCACTGGCGAGCTCCTAGAGCCATCCAAGTCCCACAGAACAGGAAAAACCTCGCCTTCGACCTGAGAATGGGGCATTGCCCCTCCGGAACACACCAACGCCGGCTATTGTCCCAAGTAAGCTCATAGAGAAGCTGGGACTGCTGGAGGCTGAGTGGCCTGTCCTTCACTGAGGAGGCCTACATCCTGGGGTTCTGGTGCAGGCCCAGGGCCTGCAAAGGAGGACTTGGCCTCTGTTGTCCTTCCTGGCACAAGGTTGAAGCCTTGAAGCTGAACCATGGAGACCTGGGTCTCCCCACATGGAGTAGGGTCTTCAGTTTCCTGAGGAAGGAAAGGTTGGGTATAGAAGTCAGTATCAGAGCGAGAGGTAAGAGTCAGTCTCCACCCTACCCTGGGTGTGGGTCCAGCAGATGTGTCTAGAAGTTTCACTTCACATTGCCATCAAAAAGACCATGCTGGAGGACCATTCAACCAAGTCACATAAAAAGATCCTTTTTTTCTGGTTGAGTCGTGGTGGCACCCATCTTTAATCCCAGCACTGAGGAGGCAGCTGCAGGTGGATCTCTGTGAGTTCAGTTCCAGGATAGTCAAGGCTACACAAAGAAACCCTGTCTCAGAAAAACAAAGACAAAAAGAAAAAACTGCAAAAATCCTTTCCCTTTTTATTTTGAGACAAGGTCTCACTGTGTAGCCATGGATGGCCTGGAATTTGATATGTAGACTAGGTTGGCCCTTGCCTCCTGAGTGCTGGGATTAAAGATGTGCACCGCCGCCGAGGCTTGAATCATAATTTTTTTAAAGAGGATACCATGTAGCTCAGGCTTACTCTCTATGTCGCCAAGGCTAATCCTGGAATTCTGGTCTTCATGCCCTCATATCCTAAGTGCTGCTGGGATTACAGGTATATACCACCACCCCCAGTTCACCCTGGAGTTTTTTGTTTTGTTTTGGTTTTTGGTTTTGGAGAGAGGGTTTCTCTGTGTAACCCTGGCTGTCCTGGAACTCACTCTGTAGAACAGGCTGGCCTTGAACTCACAGAGATCCACCTTCCCCTGTCTCCTGAGTGCTGGGATTAAAGGTGTATGCCACTATGCCTGGTCAGTTCATTCTAAGTAAATTTACGATTTTGCATTGGGCCACATTCATAGCTGTACTGCCAAGCACAGAAGCTTGTGGCCTGCAAGCTGGTCATGACTGGCTGTCCCTAGGCCTCCCAGCCTGACTCAGGACCCAAGGAGCATTCCTGAGTAGGAGTTAGGTGCCCCAGGAAGATCTTGCCCTCAGGCCCAGATGAAGGGAGGGGCATGAGGGAGTCAGAGACTGGGGGCGATGGTGGGAGGCACGAGCACTCACAGTAGACCTGGAGCCGGGCTGCCTAGCTGACCCAGTTGCGGGGAACAGCTGCTCCAACTCCTTGGTGTCGACATGCTTCTCGTCTCGGCCTAGCTGGCCTCCCTCTCCTCGGCTCACTCCATTCAGGGACAGGATACCAGGGTCCCTCTGGCTCCGGGGACCCTGGGGAGGGGAGAGCTGGTTTTCCACACCCTTACACAGGAGGGCCCTAAGAGATGAGCCACATGTTAGGGGAATAGCATCAGGGACAGAGGCTGAGGTGCCTCCTTCCCCTGCAACAGTTCCTTCCCAGACTCAGGACCCACCTGCCCCTTTGGCCAAACAGGAGGAAGAGGACACAGAAGACGATGCAGGTGACTCCGATGTGGATGCCGATAACAATGCCTGTGGTGGATGTATGGTTGGTGACATCTTCCTTCCGGCAGTCACATGGGGGACTCAAGGCTAGAGGGCAGGGCGGGTTGGGGCATAGCTTGCCTGGTCTGAAGCAAGATCCCTCAGCCCTCTTCCTCTGCTTGACCCCTTTCATTTTTCCTTTGGGACCCCAGCTCAATCTTTCAGTACTTTCTGAATTCCAAGTACCAGTTCTGTACCAGATACCAGATACCAAGATAGGGAGCTGAGGATGGCCTTGAACTTCTCATCCTCCACTTTCTACCTCCTGAGTGCTGTGATTAGGGATGCTATGCCTAGTTTCTGTGGCACTGGGGATGGAACCCAGGGCTTTGTAAATACTAGGCAAGCATTCTTTTGTTTTGTTTTGTTTTTGTTTTTCAAGACAGGTTTTCTCTGTGTAGCTTTGGAGTCTCTCCTGGCACTCACTCTGTAGATCAGGCTGGACTGAAACTCACGGAGATCCACCTGCCTCTGCCTCCCAAGTGCTGGGATTAAAGGTATGCGTCACCACTGCCCAGCACTAGGTAAGCATTCTATCAACTAAGCTGTATTCCCAGCGAGGACCAGCTACATTTTGTTTTGTTTTTACAGACTGTTCCATCCTTGCCATAGTTTATAAAGTATGTATAGTTAGCCCTGTTTCGTACTGGGAAAATTGAGAGACGTTTAGCAGCTTGCCCACGGCCACACAGCTGGAAAGCTGAACAGTTAAGCTTTATGCTTCCATCTACGCTGTATGCACGAGGGCCACAAACACTGTCCTCCCTCCTACCTAGCCTTCTAGTCACCCATTTCCCTCCCTTCAGGCCAGGATGCAGCCCATGGCCTACCCTTAGCCCTCACCTGTCCTCTCAGAGGCTCCCTTCAAAGACACGAAGCGAATTGTGGCGTTTCCTTCCCCGTGCTGGTTGTAGGCAAGGAGTTTCACCTCATACACAGTGCTGGGGTCTGCAGGAAGCAGGGCTACTGAGCAACTTCCCCTTCCCTACCAGGCAGCTTTGTCCCGGAGGGGAAGGGATGCCACCCCTGGCACCCAGCCCCTTGCCCTGCAGGTCTTACCGAGCTGGCTGAGGTTGTAGGAGGAGACGGTCCCAGGGAGCAAGATGGGGCCGGTGAAGGAGGCTGCGCTGGCTGGGCGGTAAAACAACTTGAAGCCCCCACTGTGTTGTGCCAGCCATGGCCAGGGTTTCCACAGCAGTTGCAGAGAGGAGCTGCCCAGCAACCGCACTGATAGTGGGGGTGGGGCGGGGGCTAGAGGGCCAAGATGCGAGCGGTCAGATGCAGCTCTAGCTGTCTGGCTTCGATCTAGAACCCAAGAACCTGACAACCCTCTGGCCTCAGGCCCGGGGCGTGGGTCTCACTCAGACAGCACCTTTCCATGAATCAGAAAAAGCCACCCCCTCCTCCCAGCACAGCAGTCCTCAGGGCCCGGCGCCTATGCTCGCACAACCTGAACAGGTGTGTGCGATGGCTCCACTCCCACAGCCTGAGTGTCTACGGTTTTACATCCTTACCTTCACCCAGGGTGCTGGCCAGGGTGGGGACAGAGGCTAAACTGGCCCCCCTTGGAGTGTAGGCCTTGATGTAGAAGCTGTAGGCAGTGGAAGGCTCAAGGTCTCTGACCAGGTGCTGGAAGGTGCTCTTGCTAACGGCTTCCTGATACTCCAGCTTGGGTGAGTCTGGGAGACAAAGGGAGTGTTAAGGGACAGGAGGGCATCTTGGGAGCTTCGGTGAAATGAGGTGGTCAGGGAGCGGGGTGTGGAAGAAAAGGAAGGTGTTGGGTCAGGATGTGTGTGGTTCAGAGGGTTAGCTACAGTGAGTGTGTGTGTGGGGGTGACAGAGCTCTCCTGATGATCACTACCCACCGGCAGCCTTCCTGATGTGCAAGACGTAGCCAATGATCTCCTTGGTGTGGGCTAGAGGCTCGCTCCAAGACACTCGAACCTCGGTGGAGGACACGGAGACAGCGCGAACGTTGCGTGGAGGGCCTGGCAACCCCTCGGCCCACAGCACGGTCAGCCTGGCACTGGCTTGGGAGGAGCCAGCAATGTTTTCAGCCACACACTGGTAGATGGCCTCATCTTCAGGACCAACTCCAGAAATGCTCAGTGTGCTGCAGGGGGAGGGAGAGCCTCAGAGGGGGACCATACCTCCCACCTGAGAGACCGAGCCCCTTCTTGTCTGAGCGAGACTCATGAGCACAAGGGTGGCAGGTGCAAGATTTCAGTCCCGTCTTACCACCCTCCTCTGGCTAGAGACACACAGTGTATTTGGGTCACTTATTTCAGACCACTGTTTCTTTCCATGATGGCACCTCCGCATGAAGCATGCATGAGCATGAGCTGGAGCGCTTGTGCGCACACGCGTGTGCACGTACACACACACACACACACCTGTTATTGTTCTTGAGCCTGACGTGGCCTCCTGGACCCAGCACTTGTCCATTCTTCAACCACGTGACATGAGGGGGTGGCTCACCTTGAGCTTGGCAGGTGAACATGGCTGTGGTCCCAGCCGGCCTGGCGATGGACTGAGGATGCTGGACAAACTCTGCTGGGGCTGAGTGGGCACAGAGGGGTCATGTAGAGAGGAACAGGGACAGCCACGGGTGAGGAGGAAGGGTAGCATGTCAGAGAAGCCTACGCTAGGTGGGCCAGGAGGGGCTCCCTCTCTTCCTTCTTCACCCCAGCATCTAGGACTAGGACTCCATCTTAAGGACTATTTAAGAGACTGACATCTGTGTCTGAAAGCAATCAAGCGGAGCTCCCTGCTCCGGAAATTGTTAAATAAATAAATGTGCTAATAGGGCTGGCTGCACCTCCAAGGCTGTAATGACAAGAGATGGATGAGCCCCCCCTTCACAACCCAGTTCCACTTCCCTCCAATCCCCCGCCTGGAGCCTCTATTAACATCCAGGAATGGAATACTCCATCACTTTCTTGTGGACAGATTAACAGCATATAACATGCTAAACAAACGGCATTTAAGTTCCTAATCCCCTGTTTCCCATCTCCATGCCCATGCCGTGGGAGGAGATACAGCCAGGGAAAGGCCTGGATGTGGGAACTGAGGCTGGCTGCAGGCCCCACACCATGTGAGCAGGGCGGGAGCTGCTGAGCGGGAGGGGGCTGACAGGCGCACTGGCACGCACAGCAGGCAGGTGTGAGCGTGGAAGTGCCACACGTGCGAATGAGACGGCTCCACGGGAAGAAGGGCCATGGGTGAGCCAGGGGAGCGGCCTGCTGATATCAGAAAGTGGCAGTGCCTTCCAAGGTGGAGGGGAGGCACACACGGGTGCAGGGCACATGGGTTGCAGGCCAGAGAACGCACATCCCTCTTGGCGCTGGTAGTCCTGTTCTGGGGGAGACCTGCTGCCTGTGACCTGGCCAGAGACCTAAGAGGGGTGAGGGTCAGGGCTAGGGTGAGGACAGACAGCGGCAGCAACAGAAGGTACTGGTCTCTGGCACAGGCAGATGCTGAGGGGGCATGGAAAGGGTTTGGCTGCTCTGTACCTTGTACCACCAGCCGGCCCTGGGCTGTCCTCCGCACCCGGGTGCCAGGCCTGTTGGCTGCACAGACATAGACACCCGAGTGCTGGACGGTCACATCTGAGATGATGAGGTTTCCTGTGCCCAGCACCTGGATGCCCTCCACCCCGATGGGGCGGCCATCTGCAATGGAAGCAGAGGGAGAATGAGCTGTGGCAGGAGTGTAAAGGATGGGAAGGATGAGGCCATTCCAGAAGGCTTATCCCTTTACCACTCTTTCAGAAAGCCCTGGCCTACGGCTTTGGCACAGTCCCTCCGCAGAGCTCTGGAAGTAGCAGAGAAACATAGTACTTGAGCCCAACGGCAGGGGCTAGTGTTCTGATTCTAGTGTGATAACTGCTGGCTGCTTTTGCTGTTACTGTTTTTGTTTTAGACAGCATCTCACTGCATCGCCTAGAGTGACATCATCCTGCTTCAGCCCGTAGGTACTTCTAGTCCCTTCTCCTTGAATCCATAGAGGACTTGGGATTGTCCAGCAGTTGTAAACGCCATGGCTGATTTTCTGTTCTACTCCAGGACGCTGAGGCACACTACATGCCCATGAATACAAAGGCTCCAAGAAGTTCCTCAGTAAAGAACCCTGGGTAACTCTGATTCCCACACTTGTTAGGCCCCTGAGCCGTTCTTTTTCTCCCGTTAGGCCATACTTTGGGAAATGATGGAGCAGATGGCCCCTGGAGTGCTAGGGGCTCCTGATGGTAGCATACAGTTTCCAGCCTCTCCCTGGGACTCAGGCCCTCCCCCCACCCCAGGGATCAGATTAGCACAGCCAGAACACAAGGAGACAGCTCCCCATTCAGACCCTGAAGTGGTGAAATCTACTCCATTATCCCACACAGCCCCTCCTTCCCCCATCACTCAGCTGCTAGTGTGGCATAGTCTCCTTGTGAATGCCACCCCACCCCACCCTCTAGAGGCTCCTTCCCCCAGTGACCTTTCGGCTCAGACTAGTGGCCCATCTGCACCCTTTCACTACTTTCTTCTGCTGCCTGGGGATTCGGGCTGGGGCGACCTGGGAGCAGGCAAGCCTGGGAGTGGGGGAGCAGAGCCAGGGTGGGATGCTTGCTAGGATTTTGAAGGCTGAGGATTGCATGGCTGGGGGTGTGGCCAGGGCACAGAGGGTGGGGTGGGAGGGACTGGGTGCTGAGGGCTGCAGAGAGAGAGTTCTGGGGCCTAGAGAGACACTGAGGGAGAAGTGTCTATACTCTGTAACCCAGGGAACTAAGCCAGCCCTGCAGTGAGAGAGAATGCAGCAGCAGGCTGACCTCCAGAGAAACGCAGCCCCTCCCCAGGCCATAGGGAGGGAGGGGATCGACCCTTGTGGAGAACAAACACAATTTAAGTCCCCCCAGAGCTGGGTGATGAGACCATGAGGCCAGCACTCCCAGGGGGTAGGCTGGCCAGAGAGCTGAGCTACGGATAAGGCTCACCCAGGCGGCTCCAGGACACAATGGGGCGCGGGTTGCCCGTGGCGACACACTCCAGCACTGCAGTCTGGTGCACTGTCAGGGTGAGGTTCTCAGGCCCCACAAGGATGGTGGGCTCCTTGTAGGCCCCAGAGCCTGAGCCTGGGAGGAGAAGACCACACGTCCTTATTTCAGCTGGAGGCTTTTTCACCTCCTCGCTCCCACTCATGACCCTGGATACACACACCAGCCCCAAACCAAGTACGGAGGACAGGGAGAGGCTGGGGAACCTGAGGGTCCTGACAACCATCCTTCCTCTCCCAGCCAGGCCTCCAGCACTGGGAGAGCCCAGGGATCATTGGGAAGACTCGCTTCTCAGGAAGACAGGACTAAAGACCAGGCTTAGCTGCCTTCAGCTTGTGCTCACAGGGTCTCCATATATACTTGGTCACCCTGGGGAAATGGGTCTATCCGGCAGTAAACCAGCGGGGGTGGCTGAGAGAACTGGACGGGCCGAAGGAGCTCACCTGACACAGTGAGCCTCGCCCCATGGCTGACACGCACACTGGCAGTGTTTGAGGCCACACAATGGAAGACACCGCTGTCCTCTGCCCGAAGTCCTGTTATCTGCAAGACCCCCTTGGGCAGTAATGTGTACCTGTTAGGGGAGAGCACAGCTGACTACCAGCACAGTCATTGCGACCCCAAACCACGGGGAATTAAACTGAGATGTGGACACTAACTCAACCATAGTGTTGTGATCACAGACGCTCACTGGGATCCCCCCTCAGGTGGATATACCCTCCTAACCTTGATAACAACCACACGCAATCCTCACACACACTTTTGTGAGCCTAGAATCAGGGCCCAGTAAGCCATGTAACTGCAGCTTGCATAAATAGCACTGTCCCAGGCTGAAGGCATCCAAAGTCAGTACCCAGTCATCCTCTCAGTCTTTCACACTAGAGACTCACCTCTCATTGTCTGTGTCAATGGGAACTCTGTTCTTCTCCCACGTGATCAGGGGCTTGGGAAGCCCATGGATTTGGCACTGGAAGCGGGCCACACCACCTTCTTCACCCATGGTGGCCTGGGGATGCACATGGAAGTCTGACATGGCTAGGGAGACAGAAGAGGGGGGACAGATAAGGTGAACTGTGGAGGTGCAGAGGGAGAGGTGAGGGGCCCCCACTGAGGTACTGTCTGCTTGAGGCAGTACAGTAGCTTAAGAAACACACCAGCCCTCCCCTCGGCCCTCCCCACCATGGGTAGGCACCCTGATCCCAGACATGGCATAATCTTTAAGAGACCTGGGGAGGAGACGCTGAGACAAGACATTGTCATACACATAGTTCACAACTGAGAACCATGCAATCGTGTTACCAAAAAAGGGAGAAAAGGAAAAAATCATAAAGTTTTGAATATATTTACAACACCGTAATGGCTGTATTTACGGTTTCCCTTGGCTGTAGGGTGGACATGGAGAGCAGACCAATTCCAGAATGATGAAGCTCTAACAAGGCATGTGGGAGCTGTGGAGGCTTCCCTCGGAGGGAAGGGTCTCCAGGACCTCACTTATGAAGGCCACCTAGAGAAAGGCACTTTTCCCAAATTGTCTGCCATCTCTTTATCGGCTGTGACCTGAGCAGTATGTGCCACATTCTACAGGACTGGAAACTGAGGCCCAGAGGGGGACTGGTTCACCACTGTTACCTAGTAGGAACACTGTCAATAGCAGCTTTGCCAGCCTCTTCCTTACCAGGGCCCAGTGGCTTTCACCGTTTTCTTCCTCCCTTGTCCTCTCCCCCTACACACGTTAGTTCTTCTGCAGTTTCCACAAGCGCCCCGTGAGGGTAGTGAATCCATGCAAGGTGACAGGCCTCTCAGAAGACTGTCAAACCTACCAATCTACATTTCAATGTGTCATAAATATTCAAGGGCCCCTCCCCACCTTTCGGGGATCAGATTCACACTTAAACTCTGATCCACAGAGGGGGCCATGGTGGCCCCTTGTACCCCCAGCTGGTTAAGTGTTCCTCCCACCCTGTTCCCACCCTGGCTCAGGCCCCACACTGCAAACCTGGAGAAAGGCCCCTCCCACACAAGCTCCCAGCTTCAGCACCCGGACTGAGATTTCATTAAAATCCACTTTGCTTCAAGTGCAGGAAGGCGGTACACCATCTGTCCAAGCTGCAGCCCCTCCCCTCTGGCACTCCATCAATTGGGGCAGTGGCTCCCTCCCTCCCACAGGGCACCCCCCCACAGCAGCAGGGACCCTGGAGCTTGTTGCTGGCTGTCCCTGCTCTAGACTCCCCCGCATGCCTGGACAGCCTTCCTCGTGGCCCCAGTGTCCCTTCTCAGGGTCCCTCAACCCGCAGTCCCGTTCTGGACTCTCCAGCATCGCAGCAGCTCGAAAGGATGAGGATGAGGAGCTCTGTGCCTTCCCCTGAGAGTCTCTGGGGGCTGGCTCCTTTGTGGCTATTCCCCATCTCATTTGCATGTGGTTCATTAAATATAAACATGCATAAAAATCCCCGGCCCAGCCTCCTCCTCTCTGATGGCCTCCTGGGAGTGTGGTGGATGGGTGTGCACAGCTCCTTGTACACGTGTTCCAGGCTAGGTGTTTGCGGGGAAGCCTGGCTCCGTCTCCTGTATCTGGCCCGACTGTCCCCATTGGACAACAGTAGGGGTTTGAATCTTCCAGCTACCATGGCAGACATGTGTTTCTGGTGTTGTGTAGGGGCTTAATCTCGAGTGTCTCTCACTGGGTAAAGCTCTTGTGGACAGGACTTTGGAACCTGGGTTTGGGAGGGAAGGGCAAGTGGTCCAGCTGGGGCTCCATGAGAGGCTCCCCAGGGAGCACCCAGAGGTCAGCCTGCCCTGCCTCAGGCCAAAGGCTGTGCTTGGCTAAAGGCCTGTGGGTCAACCCAGGGTTCAGGGTTGGAGGTTGAAAAGTCTCTGGGGCTCTGTCCAGCGCAACCTCCAGGAAGGCAGGGCTGGAGTCAGATTTGGGAGGGGGGCACCCAGGCTCCAGAGTCTGCTCTCTTGCTTCCTCACCCAGACCCTGCTTGAGTAGGAGCTGATGTCCCTTCTTCACTACACTGGGGAGGAGCTGTATCTCCCTAACCCCCATCCCAGACCTGGGGTATGGACTGATGGCTCTGCGGATGCCTCCTCATTTCAGAATCAAGCCTTTTGTGCCCCTAGGTCCCCTGGCTGGACTCCCTGGAGACCCTAGAACTGGTCTGAGGAGAGACAGAAGAAGCTGCTTTGCAGGTCTAGGTGCTGGGATGGCGGGGTCTGGCCTTTACAGAGCAGCCCTCCCTCCAACCCCCAGCCTCAGAAGAAAACCATCAGCACAGTGAGCTTGAGTATGAAGCTGCTGGGAAGGATGCCAGCGCTGGAAGGGGGTGGGCAAGGAGTCAGTCCTCAACCCGTAAGGTCACTGGACTCCTGAAGGCCCCCTGGGCCTGTCCTGCCCTCACTGCCCTCATTGGAGCAGACCCGGAGGGCCCTGGGTGCTGTCTTGTGGGCACACTTATGCTGAAGGGTTGCTTTGCTTGTCCAAAAATGCTTGAAAACTATTTTGAAGCGAATCCTTTTGTCTTGTAAAAGGGGGCACTGAAGCCAAGGCTTTCTGTGTGTGTGGGGTACACCTTAGTACCCCAGCAGGTTTCTTCTCCCTCCAAGGCCAGGAAACCCTGCAGCAGACTGTATGTTAAACCAGGCTACTCTTCTACTTTTTCTTCTTTTTTTAAAGAGGATGTTATTTAGGCTGGGTGGTGGTAGCACACACCTTTAATCCCAGCACTCAGGAGGCAGAGGCAAGTGGTTTTCTGTAAGTTTGAGACCAGCCTGGTCTACGGAGTTCCAAAACATCTGGGTTTCAAAACCCTGTCTGGAAAAATCAAACAAAAATAAATACTATTTATCTTACGTGTATGGGTATTTTGCCTGCATTTATGTCTATTATAATGTGTGTACCTATTGTTTAAATAGACCAGAAGAGGGTGTCATATCCCCTGGAACTGGAGTTATAGACAATCGTGAGCTGCCAGGTGGGTGCTGGAATCGAACCTGTGTCCTCTGGAAGAGCAGCCAGTGCTCTCAACTGGATCATTTCTCCAGCCCCAGCCAGCCTTGTCTTAAGGCTGAGGGAAAGTCAAGAGCATAGATAGAAGATAGAGTTGTTGCCTCAACTTCACCTGAGGAGTGCAGCTGGCCTGTCAGGTGTGCTCTTGTCACAAAGTCTTCTGCTTCCCTGGCCTCTTCCAGTCCTTCACTTACTCTTTGGTCAGCCTGGGGCTTACTGAGTAACCTAGTTTATGCAGGATAAATGGAGGGGTAGGTGCCCTCCAGACCCTCAGATTCTGAGCTAACCTTTGCCACAGTCTCCAGGCCATAGAGCCTACCCAGCTAGGCTGGAGTCTCAGAACCTTCAAGGTTCTCCCAGCTCTCAAACAGGCTTAGGGCTCTGCTAGTGTCCTGGTAGTGTGTGTGTGTGTGTGTGTGTGTGTTTGTTTGCTGTGGGATATTTGCACACTATGTAAAGATACATTGCTATGATTGGTTTAATAAAGAGCTGAATGGCCAACAGCTAGGCAGGAGAGATAGGCAGGACTTCCAGGGAGAGAGAGAGGAAGTAGGAGATGAATCTAGGCCTGCAAGTAATGCCAGGAGACATGGAGAGGAAACAGGAGGTACAAGAAGGATATATAAGGTGATATAACGTAGATTAATATAAATGAGTTAACTTAAGTCATAAGAGCTAGATAGGAACAAATCTAAGCTATAGGCTGAGTTTTCATAATAAGTCCCTATGTCATTATTGGGGAGCTGGCTGGAGGAACAGAGAAACACTCATTGCATGCAAACAGGCTTTTGGACTCCTCTAGTGTCAAGTTAGAGCATATCTGGTTCACAAGTTGTGTGTGTGTGTGTGTGTGTGTGTGTGTGTGTGTGTGTGTGTGTGTGTATGTGAATGGTGTTTGTTCTGTTCTGGTTTTTTTGTTTGTTTGCTTGTTTTGTTTTTTGTTTTTTGTTTTTTTTGAGACAGGGTTGCTCTGTGTGACCTTGGCTGGCCTGGAACTCTCTCTGTAGACCAGGCTGGCTTCCAACTCACAGAGATCTGCCTGCCTCTGCCTCCCGAGTTCTGGGATTAAAGGCGTGCACCACCACCTAGCTTTTGTTCCGTTTTTTTAAGACAGAATTTTGCTATGTAGCCCAGGTTGACCTCAAACAATGCAATCCTCCTTCTGTAGCCTCCCAGGAGTTGGGATTCTAGACGAGAGCTACCACACCCCCACAGAAATCTGTTCTTAGCCAGTGTGACAGTGTTCGTGTGCAATCCAGGTATTAGGGAGGCTGAAGCAGGATGATCATGAACTCAAGCCCAGTTTGAGCTGCACAGTGGGATTCTAAATCGAAAATGAAAATAAGGTCCCTTTATGATTGGGCTTGAGACGGCAGTTCTGGGTTCCTGGGTACTTTTATGTTATTATCTGTGTGGGGAAAGGGTTCCTGAAGCACATGTGGAACACGGGGTTGCCAGCAGGGACTCTGAATTCACTGAACAAGTCACCACAGTGGTTGACGACTGTGGCCTGCGCTCGCTGCTGGACGTTGAAGCAGTGCTGTGACCCTTGCTGTTGGTGCGTGCCACTTCTGCAGAAACCCGTCGGTCCTCTGAGGACGGTTGTGGGTTCCTCACTCCCAGCTGGGTGACAGGACAGGTAATGCAGTAGGTGGGAGCCCTGCCAGGTGGGAGGGCCAAAAGGAAGCAGCAGGGTAAGGAGGTGACAAGCCTGTGTCCTGTGTACTTTTGAAAAGGCTCTTCCAGCTCCCCTGTGGCCCACCATGGGTACAGCCAGTTATGGGGAGGCAAGAGGGGCTGAGAATGAGGGCAGCAATCCTTGTTTGGAAGGGAATAGAAACGACAGGAAATGGTCCTGGACACCCCTATAAATCACCCAGAGGGACGGGATCTCCTGAGAACCGGATCTACAGCAGTTCAGGGAGGGGAGCTTATTTTATTGCCTGGTCCAGGGCCTTTGCAGAGGTCAGGCCTGGATTTGATTAGACAGGCTCCAGGGGGCCTCGGGGGGGCAGTGAAAGGTTAA